TTAGAGGATTCTTAAGATTCGCTTCTAGAATTGACTTAAGCGCAAATGTAGCTAAAGTATCATATCCATTGCACATGATTCGGATATCGCGAAGATCCATCATTTCCTGATTCATTCACTTCAGTCTCTTGCATATGTCATCATGAAGGCAGTCGGAGTCGCTCTTCCACGCAGTTGCAGTTTCAGTTACTATCCTTTCCTCATGAATGCTGCCGAATGCTGGTACAGTTGACTCTCTTTGAAACGACATAAAAGTTCAGTCGAGTGTTCCAATGTCCTCATGACGACCACTCACTGGCTTTTGCAAATCGAAAGCAGCCTTTTCAGGAGGAGTTTGCTACGAATGCCGACCGCGAAGGGAAGCGAATGTGATGAGAGCTGGCTCAAACCGAGGTCAACAGACGAATATTCAAGCATAGCACAGTGACTCGATAATCATCTAGCACTCATCGGTGTGTGACGACACTTCCGTGAGGTTTATTGGCATACTTAAATCACCCATATTCATCGACCGACAACCAATCCTCTCCACCATTTTGTCCTCGGTTTCTACGAGATTTTCTTGCATTCACCCACCATTTCATGGTTTGCAAAACGTATCTAATTGTTAGAAATAGCTGAATGATGTGAACTATAATACGAACGATTCTGCGCATTTGCATTTGGTCAACACATAGCATGCTATCATCGTTTTTCAGCTCGATCTGCCTCTCTACAAGCCAATTTCTTGTCATTGCTTCTCACTTTAAAGTCACGTCATTTCTTTTTCACATTAGATGACTATTGACTCAGAACACGGATATCAGTCGGAGATTCTTAGTTTCTCCGAACATTTCACAAGTTTTTATCCTGCGCTCTGTGGGCATTGCGTGGCACATTTTGTGTTATTGACGTGTTTACCGTAGTGTAATGGAACTTTGAGAACAATTGAGTCGAATAGATGAAAACGGAGATTTTTCACTGCGCGAATAAGTTCCATAACTCAATGTACTACGGCGGTAACAAACTGACGAATTAATGAAGCATTGAGAATTTTCTTTTCTTCGACCTTTCACCTTGATATACTGCTTGGATCCCAGCACTTCCTACAATAGGTTGGTTTTCGCGCACTCAATCTTCCCAAAGATTTTCGAAGTTCATGCTTTGCTTTGGCAGTTGCTTGACGATTTTGCATTTTTATGAATGTCATAGAATGCTGATCGAGGCAATACTCCTCGAATTCCTAAAGATAGCCGTGCTAAGGCATTCAAGACATTCGTCAACTGATTGCTATGGATTGTTGGGAAGGGGGCCGTGCTCAGTCTTGTTTATTACCTCTTTCCTAACATACTGCATTTCAGCATTACTAACCAGTGCACTAAAATACCCCACATGTAAGGCGTACTTGCTGAAAAGTCGTATGGAAATTTTTTACTCTGGTTCTATTCGAGCCTAAAATAGATAATCCTATAATAGAGGTCGTCCACTGTACGAAGACTTGGATTTAGGATATATTATCCTAGGGATGGTTTTATGATATATCATTATAGGGAGGAATGCTTTCGTCAAGTACAACTTTGCTTTGTTACCAAGGAAGATGTGAATATTCATGTTAGAGGGTGATGCTTCGATGGTGCAGGTACATTTCGAAGAGCAGCTTCAATGGTGTCCACTGGATTGACGTTCCACCACTGGAACTGTGAATGAGCTTGCCCAGTGAGCGAACTACTGAGGACTATGGCATTCATTTTATTTTAGACAGCTTATCTTCTTTTGAAAAGTCTAAACCAACTTTAGTGTCTTTTCGTCAACATTTATGACGAAGCTTGCTCATCGCCTTAGGAATAATTTACTTCAGAATGGCAGCTTTTCAAAATTTAGCTGCCAATCCAGCGATAACAATGCAGTAAATAAATTACCGTTGTTCACAGCTTAAACGCAAAAATGCTCTTTTTACTTACCATAAGCCAACAGACAGGAATGTAATAGCTACCACCCATATCGAAGAAACGTAATCCATGTCCTTACGATGACTTAAGCTCACTGAATCCCTGAAATGTCGTTAATTACCCGTTTCATTGCCAATTCAATTCCATTACAAAATTTTTCTAGAAACAAAAGCTTAGTATTGTTAGTGTCATCTTCTATAGCAACTTTACATCGCACACTTCTTCCACAACTCATGAAGAACGTGGATGTATAGAAAAAATGGCGCAGGATCCACGGAAATCATACTTTTTGATTACTCGTGAACAGTTGAAGTGAGTGTATTGGAAGTTGTATCTACCAATACAGAAGAAAACTCTTCAAAACATTTTATGGTTTATTTGAACACATTTGCACTAACACCCGCTTCTCTGTGCCTGCATCGTGAAACCTAATTCTTCAAAGAATACGTACTCCCCTTATTCAATGCGAATATATATATATATATATACATATATAATATATATATATATAATATATATATATATATACAATGTACTTTTGATGTGTGCGTGTTTCTTGATTCTTTAATTATATCAAATAATGTTCCAACTTTCATTACTTTTCAATCGACTATTTTGAGGCTTCGTTTAGAAATTCAATATAGTCGGATGGAATGTTCTAAGCCTTTCATGAGATCTGACATGTCACTCCGAGTGCAAGACATATGTGGCGGCTTTGTAGCAAACCTCATCAGTAGCACAAATAGTTAGTCGATAGGTATTTATCTCGCTATCTATCTATCTATCTATATATATATATATATATATATATATATATATATTATATAATACATATACATATACATGTATATATGTATACATACATGTAAATATATGTATACATACATGTATATATATGTGTATATACATCTATATATATATATGTACATAAATGTATATATACATGTATATACATATGTATATGTATATATCGGAGAAACAGCCGTAAGCCGTGGAAATATAATGGACTATCAATCACTCTGAAGGAACATCACGTCGGGTGATTTTTTGAACTGACGCAGAATGTGACTTGTTCGGCGTCGATTCCTTGAAATAAGAAGCAGCAGCCGAATGGCATGTGCTAGTGATGAGACTTGCTAAAAAGTTGAAATATACGTGTAAGGCTAGAAGTGCCATAACAGATTTTAAACATTCTATCTCACTATATTTCTTTTTTTTTTCTAAAAATGACTATGTGTGTGCATGTGTTTGTGTACAGGACTTATTTAATACATATTTGTGACAAACATGGTGCTCTCTTTCATCTACGAATCAGCCCGGACATCTCTGTGACCTCCTCTCATCTGCGACTCTTCTCGTGGAACAAAAAAAAAGTCGCTCAAAAACGGATTTTGCTGAGCGTACCATATGATTTTTCCCGCACCACCACAGGCACAATAATTTTTAAACTCGAAATCTACTGATTAAATACAGAATTCACTAATAAAATTTTCAACTGCAAAGGTAAAGGCGATTAATCTAGTGAAAAATGTTAAGCCCGCTATGTTTAAACTGCTATATGTGGGCATGCGCTTAAAACTTGAGCACGCGCTTTATATTGAATGGTTCTTCCATTCGCACCTCTCGCAAAGACGAAGAATCCAACCGGCCATCACCCAAAGAAATGCCGTGAAAATCATCAACATTTTTCCTGGAAAATTTCGGATTTATGCTTTGAATGAGAAATAAGAAATATCTGTTGAATAGTTCAAGTAATCTAAAATGTTCATCAAACACACCAGGGCACAGGGTCATGAGCGTCTTCAAAATGAATCGAGCGTTGAAATTCACTCGGTTTAGACCCGCTATGCTCCTACTACTTGCATCGGTAAACAATCTGCAGTTGTAACCAGTTAGAGAGCATTAGATGAGCTGTTTTTTTTATTTCAAAATAGTGAATACATTATCAAATCAGCAGACCTTGAATGAAGAAGCATAACTCGGCAGAGCCAGTAGAGACGAAAGAACATGGCGATTGAAACGAAAACATTCAATGAATGAAGCATCTGAATGAAAAGAAATGAACGAATGAATTCAAAGAGCTTCAGACTTAATCCAGAAGAATTCAAATCCGATCATCGACTGATCAGTTGGAAGTTAGATTCAATGAATGCAGAAAACACGAACATAGTTAAAAATGATTAGCGACTGTTTTTTTCCACTATGGGTTATTTTATTCAGAACTTCCTCAAACTGCTCAATGCTGTTTGGCGAATAATACACATAAGTGGTATCCACGTCAGCAATAGAAATATTCGTTATCTCACCACAGTCAACCACTTAACACTTCGACGGTAGACTTCAAGTGAACGAAGTTTCTTAGGCTAAGCTTAGAAGTTATCAGTGTGAACTATGCGAAAAGATTTTGATTATTTAGAAATCAGTTTCAAAAATAAGTGAAGTCATACTTTTGAAATCATCCTGCCACGACTCCATTGGCCTATTTCGAATGGAAGCGGACATAGCGAGCATAAGAACAGCTCACCCCCTGAAAAAAGACGTCTTGACGCTTTAACCCATTGTTTTCCTTCTCTCGATACCAGTGAATACTAGTGTTTTTACGACAAGTTTTTCTTCAAGAAAGCACTTTTTTGCTTTGTTTTCGAAAAGGTGCAAGATTTCTCAAAATTCTCCTTGCGTAGCTAATTTGTTACATCAAAATTCTTTCATCTCTGAAGGCGCATAATCAAGTAGAAAAACTGCATATATTAAAATCCATAGTATAGATTGTACGAGTGGCTTTCAAACTGAAAATAATAGTTGAGATTTCTACTATTTTCAATACATTTTTTCGCAGTGTTAAGATCCTTCATATAATCCTAAGAGAATTTAGGGGTGAGAATAAACACGGCTTCAGGCAGAATCGAACCAACGTATCATCGTATCCGGGAAGCGTGCTCTACCACTACACCACTGAGGCACATTCGCTTGACCACTCACTCTTCAAAATCTCTACGTTAGCAATCAGCCACCATCCTTTAACAGGTTTGGTCATACATAGAGATTCTGAAGAATGAGTGGTGGCGCCAACGTGCCTCGATGGTGTAATGGTAGAGCCCGCATCCCCGGGTACGATGAAACGCGGGTTCGATTCCTGCCTGAGGCAGTGTTTATGCTTACCACTCAATTTTCTTAGGATAATATCGAAATAATAGCATAAAATATGATTTGACTTCTAAAATTACAACAATGATTGTTATTTGGCTATAGCAGAAGAAATTCTTCTATAATCTCCCAATAATACCCGGAAGCGCCTTATTTTAGATCTAAAATCCTCGCATGGAGCTGTTTTCGACTTACACATAGCATCGTCTCTTCAGTACTCAAAAAAATTTTCGTTTGCTATAGGTGTGCAGAAGAAGTTCGAAAGCGATCAAAAAATTATCTCTTTCCTCAATTTCTACTGTTTGTCACCTCGTTTTTTGGATTTTCATATATTTGAGGTCGATCTAGCTTATCTGCAGGTTTTGTTGCGCTATTGGTATACGTACGCTTCCTTCAGTGATCTCGCTCGCCTCGTCAGTATTCCGAGCCCCACTAGCTACCTTGCATAGAAGACGGTTATATCAGCCTCTTGAAGATATAGACATACAAAAAACGAGGGTTTCAGTAATCGAATAAAAGGACAATGGATATACCCAATAATGTAGAGTAATGTACAAAACTGTGCGCCAGGTGGGACTTAAACCTACATTTCACTCTATCCGCAGGACTACTCTAGCCCGTTGCACTACCGGCGCCTGTTTTGCCACCACTCTTTTCACGCTCTGACGCCTCTATATGCCAGTAACCAGCCGTCAAAAATTAGGCCTGAGTAGTCGATATTGACACGAGACACAGTCATGCTGACAGATACTGAGTGTTGAAAATTGTATTACTAGAAAAAAATGCCGGTTCAAGTCCTGCCTAACGCAAATGTCTTTCATATCTCTATAATAACGTATATCCATAACATCATACCATTGTTATAAGCGGTTAAATAAAAGAATTCTGTTTGATCATTAAATACCCAACGTCTATTCGCGTGACTGGGTTTGATGTTGATATCGACTACTTAGGCCAAACCGTTGACGGTTAGTTGCTGACAAATAGATGCGTCGTAAAGTTATAAAGCACGGTGGCAAAATAGACGTCGGTAGTGCAACGGGTTACAGCACGCGCTTCCGAATGGAGCGAAATAGGGTTGAGCCCGCTTGACAAGAAAGTTCTGCACGTCACTCGAGATATTCAAACGAAATTTCACTTTACAAAGCCTTGTTATTCTGCGCTGTCGCCTTTCCACTATTTAGGGTGGCTAGTGCGCCTTGTGGTACTGACGAAGCGAGCGAGATCGCCGAAGTGCAGGGATACCACTGGCGTAACAAAACTTTGAAAACTGCTAAATCAGCTCCTCTCAATATAGTTTTTCCTATTTACATCTGATAAGGATATTGCATGTTTTGAGCCGATCGGTCTAATGCTATGTAGGCGCCTATTTCGTCCCATTGGGACTCATCAGTAGCACCCTCCCTCGGTTCCGTCGATCCCTTGAGGTGAGATAATTCTCTAAAGGAATCGGCGCCGAGTAAAAATTAAGCACTCAAAGTAGGATGATGGTATTACCTGACTTTGTGGTGACCGGCAGTCGAGCTTGCGGCTTTTAGAATGAACTATACCTCTGCTATCGACCGCTTTTTTTACAGACCCGCTCAAAATGATTTAATCTGATAAGGATATTGCATGTTGAGCCGATAGGTCTAGTGCTATATATAGTCCTATTTACATCGTTTTCTTGAAGCTTGACAGCCATATGTGATCAATGTATAGAGTAAAGAAGTTTAGATACTTTTTAACTAGCAAATTACTCCTTTATATTAGGTTTTCGTTGAAATGGGGTTATTCTCCAGTAGCTAGATCAAGAACTGCTCTCTATAAGTACACTTACCTATCTGAATCATTCTCCGTGAGGTCAACGCTACCCGCCAATCGTCAGCTGCGTTAGCATTCATGAACAACTAAAGAGATCAACTAGGACGCTGACAATGGCATGCGATTAATATTGAGAGAAACGTAAAAAATCTCTTACTTGCACTTCAATTATATGAAAATAAGCTACGAACACAACAAGAACAATTGTTGACCCGACAATGAGTGATTTAAGACACAAACTAGACAGAGAACCCTGAAACGAGAACTACTACGCTAACTTAATGAGTTCACAAGTTTTTTTTTTTGTGAAAAAAACGAAATATGTCGACTCACTACGGAAACAATACCGGCAACAGTCAGTTCGTTTTCGAGTATCATTAACACTGAAATGTTTCTCTTAAACGATTTGTGCATTTGTGAGAAAATGTAATTATTTCTTGATTCATAAAATTTTCACAAGATGTAAGCACTTCAAAGTCTTTGGAAAGAAAACAGTTTAGTAAATAACGATTGTCTTGATTAAGCCATTCCACGTCGACCAATTACGGTGTGATTCGCCCTTCATTGTAGCGTGTCCTTTTGATGCAGCTTTTTGTGCTAGGAGTCAGTAAATATTTAGTGATCAGTAATCAGTAACGATGCAGCGGACTGATTTCTTAAAATCGTTGTTTTAATGTTCAGTTCTTCTTTTTGCTTGAAGTCCTCATAGAGCGAAAAAGAAAGCGAAAGGCCACTTTATGGACGCATGCATCGAAATCTGTACATATGGTCGCAAAAGGTCCAAAACGTTATGAGACAATAGTGTACATTTGGAGCGGAAGGGAATAAATTTCAAAAATTCATGCATACCTATTCCGAGAATGGCGAAGAAGAGGGCGCGATCGCTCATATGCCGTTTTTTTCTCTTGCAAAATCTCCCTTTTTATCAAGCGCCCACCGCTGAAAACGACCATTATCAAGAATTGTGGCTTACAACAGACATTGAGATTCACAGAGAGTTCTCATCTATCGTTGATTCATAGCCTTACGTTTGTTGTTCCCCTAAATTTTTGGCTAAATGTGTTTATATAGACGAATTACATACAGTTGACGACGCTTCTACTTATGGTCTTTAGCGTCTCGCATACATCGCCATGTTCAAAGCAGACCACCACCATGGACGACAAGTGCATGAGAGAAATGAATGGAAGGAACTATACCGGGGCTCGCACTACAAGTGAAACGGGTCGTCTAAGTATCCAATCGAGTCATCAGCGCGCTTTATAGTTCGCGACGGTCTTTCAAGACACTGACCGACATCAGTGCTAGAAGATTGGAAAGAATGTTCTGGGAACTCTGATAAGCATGAGATAGCACTCATGCATATCATGGGTATATTACAGTTTTTTATGTGGGATTTCCCACTGAAAGCCTAGATATTATAGACAGACAGCTGGAGCGAGTCTACGATGCGTTGGAGGAAAAGTACCCGACATTGATTCGTCGAAAGCGCGAGCTATTTTAGCAGAACAATGCCAAAACGCACGCTGCCAAAAAGGCCAAAGACGAATTTCATGAACTGGATGGAGTCGAGGTTCTGCCGCGTCCCGTTTACAGTCCAGATTGCTCTCCATCAACCATGGCTTTCCGTTCGATCAATGCAACACTTTTTGATGTGGATCGTTCGATGTCGTTCGATGAAGTCACCGATCTGAATCGTTCGATGAAGTCAAGGAATCATGTCAAGAATTCTTCGACTCGAAGTCGAAGGAAAGGTACTTCGATCAGATCCGAAACTTGCCGAGCCGATGGGAGAAAGTAGTAGAAAACAGTAGTCTTTATTTGGAAGAACAGTTATTTGTGTTTTTGCTTGGAATCCATACATAAATTTTCAATTTTTTACAAGCGTTCTAGAACTTGCTTCCCAACCTAATACATCGATATGAGTTTTCATACACAGACATTTAAATCAGTGGTAGAGCTGAAGAGATAAAGCTTTCAGCGTTGATCATTCCCTGAAGGATGGGTCATACATTCGTTTTCATTTTTTTAAACCTCTTTTGAGGTGATTGAATGCATATCTGGCCTTTACAATGACTTGCAGTGGCCTCCCTGTATCGAGTCAGTGCTACATGTCCTCCCAGACAAGTCTGCGACCAGTCCGGTACCAATTCACCGATCCCGAAGGCATGAATGGATTGGTGAGCCATGAGCGCGAGATCGAACCGACCCAGATTATGGATGGATTGGTGATCCATGAGCGCGAGATCGAATCTCTAACCACTGCGCCACATGCGCTCCTTTAAATCAATGAAGTTCTATTGATACGTAGGTACGATTTGTTGAATATTTTTGATTCTCAAATATATGCTAACGTCACAGCGCATGTATCGTTGCAGTTAAAAGTGCTTTGTTACACATGCGTGGCCGCTAGAGCGGACCGTACAAACTTTCACCTCAGAAGCGACAAAATTTTAGAGATAATCTTCTACAAGGTTTTTAGATCTAACAAATTTTCCCTTTCGCTTATTTTATAAAAGCCTAATGCTCGCAGTAAATTATATAATGTTCAATCTGGGCGCATTTCTCTTGCAGCTGCATCAATATAAGGTATAAAAAATTAAAAACTAAGGGAACAAAACGCTTTCGAGGTGCACCTAATCATTTCCTGATTACCATCCATCAAAGGCACTTCGGAGTCGTCGTCTATCTTGTGAGCTTCCAAGTCATTGGAATAGCCGATTGAGACGGATTTTTTCGACGCGACATCACCTGTAAATTCAAACTAATTTTATTTTTGTCAATCCATTGAAAAATAAAATATCTTTCCACCTTTATCATAACTAATCCAACTCAAACCCTGCGGACCAAGAATTTTCCTCAACAGAGCTTGATCTCTGGTAGGGATATGTGCGACACTTAAGCGACGACTCTTCTCTTGTGGAGGTGTGAGTCCAAAAATTGACTCGGAATTTGATCTTTGCTGAAGAAGTGCCAGTCTGTAGCGATCTGGCTCCTTTCTGCCTCGTATCGTTCTTGCTGGTCGTTCGAACATGTGATAGGAACCTGTCTGAGACACGCAACTGGATTTTGGTGACGGTACTGGTGAAGGAGGGATGTCGAATGAGAGCTGTTTAGGAACAGTCATCATTCGTTGCGGTCTAAGGATTCCTTTTGGAGTGAACTCGGAGCTCGAAGGACCGCGATGGATTCGACGGT